ATTTTTCTTGAGGGAGGGCATTAATTTCTTCCTCTGTAATTTCCATACAATCGCGTTCAGGAACGAGGAAATCTTTATTGTAGTTGATTCTAATATGTCGTCCCCAAGGAGTAGATACACAGGCTGTCCTTACGCCTTCGAAATAAGACATGTTTCGATGTCTGATGACGTGTTTTGTTTGTATCTGAAATGATTTCGTAAATAGTAAATTGTAAAGATTTATCAATTTCCCACTTACCGCAAGAGGTGCATGTCTTTGAATTAACTCAGCTCGACCGCCTGTATAAGGTTCATCTGTAGCAATGAGTGGTGCATCAGCCAAAGCAGATCCGTTTCGTCTAGTTCTTGCATTAGTCGTGGTAATTCTAGCCCTTCCAGCTGAGTTCCTTGGTCTTAAGCTCCTAGAGGTTCCTTCGATCAGATCAGTTGATGGCGAAGCTGTAGCATCAACATTATTGTGATTAACAGTTGATGAAGTTGTAGTTTGAACATTATTTAGATCAGCACCATCGTTTGGACTTGCAGTAGACGTATTGATTGTTAAATGGTCTGAACTCTCTTCGGATTCTATCGAAAATGAGAAATGATGAGAAACTTAATTACCAAATCTGATTGAGATGAAATTCATAACTATCAATACTATCACTAGTAGTCATCATTTGACACCCTAATCATCTTTCGCTGATGAGTTGAACATAATCTATTATTGCTTCATCAATAAGTTAAGGTAAAGGTTCTATTGTCATAAAACCTATTTACCAAATCTGATTGAGATGAAATTCATAACTATCAATACTATCACTAGTAGTCATCATTTGACACCTAATCATCTTTCGCTGATGAGTTGAACATAATCTATTATTGCTTCATCAATAAGTTAAGGTAAAGGTTCTATTGTCATAAAACCTATTTACCAAATCTGATTGAGATGAAATTCATAACTATCAATACTATCACTAGTAGTCATCATTTGACACCCTAATCATCTTTCTGATGAGTTGAACATAATCTATTATTGCTTCATCAATAAGTTAAGGTAAAGGTTCTATTGTCATAAAACCTATTTACCAAATCTGATTGAGATGAAATTCATAACTCAATACTATCACTAGTAGTCATCATTTGACACCCTAATCATCTTTCGCTGATGAGTTGAACATAATCTATTGCTTCATCAATAAGTTAAGGTAAAGGTTCTATTGTCATAAAACCTATTTACCAAATCTGATTGAGATGAAATTCATAACTATCAATACTATCACTAGTAGTCATCATTTGACACCCTAATCATCTTTCGCTGATGAGTTGAACATAATCTATTATTGCTTCATCAATAAGTTAAGGTAAAGGTTCTATTGTCATAAAACCTATTTACCAAATCTGATTGAGATGAAATTCATAACTATCAATACTATCACTAGTAGTCATCATTTGACACCTAATCATCTTTCGCTGATGAGTTGAACATAATCTATTATTGCTTCATCAATAAGTTAAGGTAATTCTATTGTCATAAAACCTTTACCAAATCTGATTGAGATGAAATTCATAACTATCAATACTATCACTAGTAGTCATCATTTGACACCTAATCATCTTTCGCTGATGAGTTGAACATAATCTATTATTGCTTCATCAATAAGTTAAGGTAAAGGTTCTGTCATAAAACCTATTTACCAAATCTGATTGAGATGAAATTCATAACTATCAATACTATCACTAGTAGTCATCATTTGACACCTAATCATCTTTCGCTGATGAGTTGAACATAATCTATTATTGCTTCATCAATAAGTTAGGTAAAGGTTCTACACATAAAACCTATTTACCAAATCTGATTGAGATGAAATTCATAACTATCAATACTATCACTAGTAGTCATCATTTGACACCCTAATCATCTTTCGCTGATGAGTTGAACATAATCTATTATTGCTTCATCAATAAGTTAAGGTAAAGGTTCTATTGTCATAAAACCTATTTACCAAATCTGATTGAGATGAAATTCATAACTATCAATACTATCACTAGTAGTCATCATTTGACACCCTAATCATCTTTCGCTGATGAGTTGAACATAATCTATTATTGCTTCATCAATAAGTTAAGGTAAAGGTTCTATTGTCATAAAACCTATTTACCAAATCTGATTGAGATGAAATTCATAACTATCAATACTATCACTAGTAGTCATCATTTGACATCCTAATTATCTTCCGCTGATGAGTTGAACATAATCTATTGTTTTATCACAATCATTGACATGTGGTATTTGATTTATAAGGCAAACTCACCGGTAGAATTAGTGTCAGCGGTTGATGGTCCAGTGATTCGTTTTTCCAAACGCGTTTGTCGGGCCGCTAGCAGTGCATTCAAACGAGTTTCTGCTTCTCTTATCTCGTCATCCTCGTCTACATTTTGTTGTGGAGCTTCCGGTTGGGTAGTTTGTGTCGGTTCGTCCTGTTGATCAATGTCTATTACAGAAAAAAATGTTCGTAATTTATGTTTATAATCATATTCTCAATGTATTATTGTAAAAGAAAAAATTGTCACCACGGTGGTTTGAACCCAAGTCATTGCATCCGCAAGTCTAACATCTTACTATTGCGCCACAAGCAAGTTTTTAAAATTTTTGCGAAAAATAAACAAGTTTTGTTCTTTTTGATTCAATAAAATGCTGAATCATGGGTTTTTTACAAAACGTGAGGGTCGCCCCACTCAATGCAAACACATAATAATAATCAATATACAAAAGACGAATATAATTCACTGAAATTTTTCATGAAAAAATCACTTACGTGAATCATTGGATTCATTTGTAGTTGTGGCTGTATCGATATTGTTTAAATTCTGGTCAAATACCATTCCTATAGGAGTATAAAATAAATTATGAATCATGTTATCATGTTTGCTAATAATTAGACAATTGTAATTTACATACCCAACATGAAAAGGTAGAGAATTGGGAACCTTATCAAATACATTTTTATTCAGTTCGATTGGGTAATAATTTGTCAAAAAACAACAAAAATAGCTAGAAAATTACTTGAGAAAACTTCAAATGAAATCAAATGTTAAATGTAAACAAAAAAATATCGGATCTGTGAAATTCAGATCTCGGATTCGTTTTTTCACCGATTCCGGGAAATTTGAGTTTTTTGTGGAAATATTTAATTCAGAATAAAATTCTTTCATTTTCTCTTTTTTTCCCCCACTTCCGCTTCTGAGTGGCTCAGAAGCGGAGGTTTTATTACTACTACCATGAATTCATGAGATAACCTTTTCTTTTGCCTATCACCATGAATTCTGGCTGGCTGATTCATGTTAATCACCTTTAATTACAAACAATAAATAAAACCATTAAACTTTTACCAATAACAATAAGGTAAATTGTTACCATTAAACATTGTGACCCTTCATTGATTGACCTTTACCATGAAAATCTAAATACATTAAGATACATGATAAACATTGAATACAATTAACCATTAAGAGATTCAGTTGATTAACTAACTCTAAACGTGTATTGTCATAATTGATAACCAACATTGTTTACTCTAATTGTCAATAATCAGATCGATACAAGATTAACTTATGTTGATTAATATGAATTATGATTAGTGTTGACATGATTGTTTGATTAACCAATGTCATCACAATTACGATGTCATTGTTAATAATCAATAATCAATCAAGTATAACAGAGCTAATCGATTGAGCTGTAATTTCAATAGATAACATTGTGATCAAATTATTAATTATTTATCGATTTGTACAGTTAATTAACTTGATCATCTTTTTTGAATTTCTTTTTTTGCCCAACCATCAACCTTTTCCTGAACTGAAATGAAATGAAATAACAAAAAAGTTCTGGACTTCCTGTTGATATCATGATAGTGTCATCGACAGAGGTAACTCCATGTATTCCTGATTGTTTCTGATAAACTGTCTCATTTTATTGTAATCAATTGATGATTGACTCTAATTGAGACACTATCATTATCCATCAGTATTATTACCGTTACAATTTGTTGCTATTATCGTTTTATTTACCTCCCTGTGATTCAGATTTCGTAGTGAAAAAAAAACCTCGGAAAGTTCTGATAATGGATAAAGATAATGGAACAATTTTTTTTCTTCTATTCTTTTTTGATTATTTATTATTGCTACTCGATAATATTGTTCATTCGTTACTCACCCTCTAAGTTTCATCCATGGGGGTGAAAATCAGAATTATAGTTCGATACTCACAAGTAAATAAAATACTAATGACAAACATAATTCGAGGTAATAAGAATTGTAATGGTTCGAGATTTTCTCATCCCAAACAACATTATCGTCCAATCGTTATTGTTCAACATTAGTTTAGGTAATTCGATCAAATCGAAATGTACTAAATCTGTTTACTTTGGCTTATCATGTTCACCATTGTATCTTCCACCTTCAAGTCTCGAATCTGTTATCATTAGAACTTTTCGTTTTCTTCTCTCAAAATATTCTAATTATTTTGGATCTTCTTCCATTGATTAAACAACTTAATCATAACAATCAATTTTCTAGACACTGATGATAATTAGATTGATGGTTAACGATTACGAGTTATGATGTTAACTGTTTGTCGGTTTGATTTTAATTCAGTTTGTTAAGATTATAAAGAGATTTTATCATAAGTTGTATAAGCAAAGAAAAAAAAAGTTCCAACTACAATAGAACTTTTTTTTTGTTCATCCAAATTGAATAAAGAAAAATTTTCCACCCTCATTGACTTCATGATGAGATGATTTCATTACATGATAAGAATATATAATAAATATGATGACTGAAGGGAAAACCCGAATTCACCCTGAAAATAAATGAGTTGATATGTTTGCAATGAAATTTATTTACTTTGTTCATTGAGCTCAATGTGTATCAAGTTGATTATCATCGTCATTAAAATACGTTACCTAATTAACTGATTAAGTTTCAAAATACTAATAATAATAATAATAATAACTTACGGTTCTCAGTTTCCTCTCAGTTCGGATAACATGAACCACCATTGCGTTACCAAAAAAAGTTATCAAACTTAAACTGTACAGTCCAAATCCTAACGGTATTATCATCCCAAGATTGTCTGAGTAATCGGATGATGAAGATTTAGTTGATAAAAGGTTCGAGTGGTCATCGAAAAGGTCTCCGACACCGTCCCCACCGCCCCTGAGTCCACTTTTAACACCCACATATGAGTCACTTAAACTTTTATTGTATAAATCATATGGTCCATTTAAAGGTTTATTAGTTGAGCTAATTGATTCCAGAATATGTTCACCAAATTGGTCAATTATGCTAATTGTTGGTGATGTTGACGATAAATTAATTGATGTTGGTGATGTTGATGATGAGATTAATGATGATTTAGTTGTAATCATAATTGAAACTGTTTTTTTGAGTTAATTAATTGCTAGTTAGTCAAATTTTGGAGATCACTATTATCACAGATTAATTTGAATCACTCATTATCCAATCTCACGATTTTAATTGTGGTCAATATATCATTGATATTCAATACGATTCAGTTGGTCATTTTTAATTCTGATTAAAAGATAGAGATTTAAATTCAATTAGTAAATGTTAATTGTCAACGTAATGATTTATCTTATTGAGAAATCCTTTTATCAATTGGGATAATCAATTTAATTTGATTGTTGATTTAGTCTCTTTGCTTGATTGTAACGGTGATAACTAATGATATTTAATTGTTCAATTGATCATCAATTATCACTTACATAATATTGATATAAATGGTTAATCAGTAACAATTTAACTGAATCAATCTGTTTGTGTATCCACATTGATACTTAATCTGAATCCATGTAGTTTTTTAATCAATTGATTGGATTAACGAAAGTGATTAAATTGAATTTTCTTCCGTGATAATTGTTAATAAAAGTTTATTTTAACTGATTAATTGATCTAATCTATTAATACGTTAACATTTAAAAGTTTTTTGTTTTCTGAACCATGTTAATCATGTTAACGAACAACAATTAAATGATCGTCATGTTTATTACGAGTAATTAAATTAACCTAACAGATAATATTAGAAGATTATTAATCTAATCAGCATTAAATTCATTTTTCGAATCAATTTGTTGATTTATTGGAAATTATCATGCGAAAATAATAATAACTTAATTATCTCCATTCAAATGATTAAGTTTAATCACTTGGAGGCTTGATTGTTACGATTAAAAGTTTCAAACTTTGTGTAATTAATTTTTGGTAATCTTAAAATTGGATTAGGATAAAATCAATTTATCTAAATTGTTTCCTTTTGTTTTTTACCGTTATTTTTAGATACGGAATCAATTGAATCGATTATCAATTAATCATCTGGTAGTTTAATATTATCCAGGAAAACAATCAAAACTACCGAATGAATAAAAAAAACATTCACAATTAGATTAGTACTTTGTTATGGATTCTAACAATGGTTAATTATGGTTAAATGTGTACGAATATTTAATAATCAATAGTTATCACTGTTAATTAGCTCGATTTGTTATTGAAAGAATCTCAAGTTTTTCTTAATCAATTGTGTCGATACATAATCAGAGACACAGTAATCACATTTACGTTTGTTACATTTGTCACATCAGTCTAACCCCTTAAGCTAACCCTTTGACTCTTGACCCTTAAATCTGACTCTCGTTAGATTGTTGTTAACCCTTTGTGTTGTGTTAATTAAATAAGTTTGATTACTCTTGAGCGACTATTCCAGTTTAACAACTAGTGTCAACCCTAACAATCAACATTGTTTCATAAGCTTTAGACGTGAATTTTGGTTCTAATTTTGTAATGGATTGAGTTGATTTCTTGATAATAATAATCAATGATTAGTAATTTTTGCGATTTGGTGATCACAATGACGATGATTTATATCCTTATGATTTTTCTTTTGACTGATTGTTTCAATTTTCTCATTGAGAGTTGAAACAAAAGTTCTAATACATTATCAGAACTTTCAAGATTGATTAGTATCTATTGCTTCTCGACTTCGAAGCTTAATAATTATTATTATCGATATTAGTTGCTGAGTATTTATTTCTTTCTTTCAACTGGTAGATTTTTTACTGAGAAGAAAATCTTTTTGTTGTTCTAAACTTTTCGATTTTAGTTTTTTCTTATTTTTTTCGATTTTTTTTCTGCTGACCTTTGTAGTAGGTTAACCAACCATGAGTAAGGTTCTGAGTAATCTCAGAATCTGATTTAGCCAGTGGCTAGTCAACGTTCACAGTATTCTGAGTTTTCGTTGGTTTAATTGGTTGATAAAAATTGTTCGTGACAACATTTTAATCAGAATTCTGGTTTCAAGGTGGTGTAAAGTTCACTGTGAGTCGAAGGTGAGAAGGAAAAAATTGATTTTGTGAGAGGTGATTTTCTTGAGAACATCTCAATTCACAAAGAATCTGATAGAAATCATGAGAGTTTTTTTCATCTACAAAGTGAAAGGAGAGAGAGAGAGAGAAAAAAAGTTCTGGTGGTTATCACATTTTATCGAGTCTTGAAATCAAGTCAAAAATAAAAGAGATAAAGTTGAAGGAAAAGGCGAAATGTCAGATTGATTGAGATCGAAAAAAAAGTTGTAAGAAACTTTTTTCCTCAGAATAACCTTATTGAAACTCTTCATGTTTCCAAAATGAACTCAGAATTTTGTTCCCACTTCCTTTTTCTTTCTCTGGTTAATGATGTTGATAATAATGAGGATGAGATGGTGATGATTTCAGAAGAGTAAATGATAAATGTTTACCTAGAGAGAGATAATCAAGAGATTTATGAGAGAACCCTGAACATTTTCTATGTCGAAAATGTTTTGGATTTTTTTTGAGTTAAAATCGTGAATAAGAAAATGAAGTTTAAGTTGAATTTTCATCATGTATCTCATGAAGTTACAGATATTGGCAAGAGCACTTGAGTCGACTTTATAGAAAAAATTGAAAATCTCATTGAAACCAGAACTTTTTGGAGATTTTTTCTCCTACTCGTCTCATGTATCATGTTCATCATTCTTTATCTGAATAGGTAATTCAACTTCATCAGTGTGAAATCGTGCATGGAAATAATATCCTTCCCTTTTCCCTGGCTGTCAAAAGTTTGATTCCATCTGATGAATGAATGATGACTATTGTTTTCTCCTATTTTTTTTACTATCATCAACCCATGAAAACGGGTGAGCAAAATAGTAAATGAAATGATCTGAATGCAGAAAAAGTAACAAAATATTCCATTCATGGTAAGAAAAAATATCCAAGTTCATCTAGTTCTCAACTCCCATGAGAGTACAGGATAACCTTCATTCAACTTGTAATAATGTTACAATTCCCAATCAACATATAAGAGTCAATGACGAGTCAGAAATCGAGCCACCCTGGCCACATTGATTCGTCGTTGATTCAAAATTTTTTGAGCCCGATTGACTCTATTTTGAGCGCTCATGAGTCAATTTTGATAAATTTTTGATTCAAATTTTGAATGAAAATTGAATCGAAATTGACTCAAAATTGAATCAAAATTGAATCAAAATACAGTCGAATGTAAATCAAGAAAGAGATTTAAATATTCTGTTATATCGGATCTATTGATTTTGAATCCAAGAATGTAGATCAAAATTTTATCACTAACGGAAGAAAAACTTTCTATTATATTTGATCAAAATATTTCGATTGATTAATCAAATTATCAACGATAAAATATCAATGAACGCAGAATGAATATTTATTTAGATAAATTGATTAGAGATTTTGTATCTTCAATAATTTATCTTGAATCAACTATATTTGAAGTTTAAAAGCTCGAATCTTGGTCTATCATCAAATAATATAATTGAACTTTAATTCAAAGAAAAAATATCGAATTTAATAGCAAAAAATAGATTTTTGATGAACGATCTTTAAGAAGTTATAGAATTAAATCAAAAATCAAAACATTCTGAGTTCCAAGTACTATGAGAAGAGTCCTGTGAATTTTCTTGATCAGATAAATTGGGATCTATTGAATCTTTATCTTTGTTATAGGAAGTTGTTTCTTTGTCATTTTCTTCGGAAATGTATCTTGATCCATCATCATCGATATTATTGTCGTCGTCATTATCATCGATAATAGATTTTCTTGTCAATTCAGCGTTTCTAGCACAAAGTTCTTTGACCATCCGAGATCTCACTTTGTATTCTGCAGCTGCAGAGTACTTATAAATTTTGGCTTTGCGAAATACATGATCTAATGATAGAAACGGCTTGTTAATTTGATAAATTTAATTGATTTTGGATCATGAAACTTACTCATAAATGCTCTTACTCTTTCTTGACCCAGTTTATAATTGAAATCTCCTTCCATTCGGGCTGTAAAAGGCTTTTCAAAACCCCAAATGAAGCTCAATGGGTATTTGAATTTTTTAGATTTATCGATTGTTAAATATCCTTCCAAATCTTTTTTATCTAAGAACTTTTTACCTAGAGTAACATTCTCATAGTAATTCTTAGGGAACGCTATCTTCACAAGTTGATAAGCGAAAGATGGCGCTAAAGAAGGAGTTGAATTTCTGATAGCTTCATCATAAAGATCCAAATCAAACCGTATGACACCTTCAACATATATTTGATTCTAGAATATAAATCAAAAGAGTTATAACTTGCCTTTTTGTTATTTACTGGATAATTACCTTGTTACTGCTCTTGTAAGTACAATCTCTTTCCGGAACAACATTTGATATTTCAGAGTCACTCTGATTATTATGATCAATATATTTTCTCATTTCATCTATAACATTGATTATTGATATTAGAAATGATCCGATTGTATCATATTCAGAGAGATTCTTTTTTCGTTTCAATAAATCAGTAACTTGATCATTGATACTCTCTATTGATACATCGGCAACTGATTTATCTAGACAAACGTTATCAACTTTACGTTTTTTTGCTCTATTCTCTGAGCTCTCATCATCTTTGGCAACACCATTTTCGTTGGAGTTATTGATCTTTAAGCTTTTCTTGTGATCTTTTGTCTTTGTTTCAAGATGATCTGAGCTTTGGTCACTTTCATATTCACTATCAGTTAGAAAACTGTTGCTCAATGGCTTGCTCGATCTTTGCGAGTTTGGCTGATCATTTCTTTGATCTGGTTTATCCTTAAGGTGAGCTTTGTCAATTATCTCATCAGATTCCAATAACTTTTTGATCTGAAGACTTGTTAATACGCGTTGCGATGGCACATCGTTTTCAGAATCAAGAGGACAATGAATGAGTTTTGTTACTCCTTTCGATAACCTTTTGATCTTTGGAAGTTTTTGCCAGCATTTATTGGATGTCGTATTTTCATTTAAACTAACTTTCAAGTTCAGAGGTGAATCTAGAGAAACGAGATAAGTATTGTTATTAATAATCATTAATTTTGAATTGTTAAAGAAACATGGACTCACCTCCGGTTGCTATTATCTGAGAATAAAACTGGTGACTCCCGATCTTGATCTTGAAGCAATTCAGCCTTTTATCAGTGAACTTAGAAAATGGAAGTTGAAATCCGAAATCCAATAGATTAGACTCATTCAACTTGACGACAAGAGGCTGCTTGATTACTCCTTTGTCTTCGTCCAAAATGTAAGGAAGAACAACAGCGAAAAGGATACCGTCTTTCAGTGGTTGAGTAAGGATCGAAGAGCTTTGATCATCGGCTCGTTTTTCCAAAAGAGTACTTTGACTCTTATCAGTCTCCTCAATAGTTGTCGTTGGGTTTTGCACTTTTTTAGAACTTCCTCTGGATTCACTTGCTGATGCGATCACTGTAACTAGATTTGTAGCGTTGTTTTCTTTAGATGAACTGATGTTGTGTTTTTTAAATTTGCCGAAAATATTAAGATCTTTTGCAGAAGCAGTTGACTTTTACGAACACTTGAGAACTTTGAACATTTTTGTTATCGAAGATCTTTGACTATTTTGAGTACTCATGATGAAAACTTTTGATCAATTAAAGTTAGACTAAGAGACACAATTGAATTAATGCTGGGAAATTTGAAAGCCTTAGCTTTTATTATAAATGGAACAATTATCTAGACAGTAAATGGTTAACTTTGATCAACTGAGATCAAAAGAGTTACAGATTTTTTTTGTACCAACAAAAAGGGGAATGTTAATTGGATTAGAAAAATTGATTGAATTGGAAAAAAATTAATTTGGCTAACTACTATTGGTTAGAAATGTAACAGATGAAAATAATTAGATGAGAAATTAATTTTTTTGTGCTTTTAAATGTTGAAATTTTTTCTTACTTTTGTAGATTTTGATTTTTTTTTGGATTTTTCACTTCAGTGGTTGTCAAAATGTCAAATTTGTTTTATGAAGATTTGGGTTGATTGGCTGCAGAAGCAAATAGATTTTGTAACAACAATTGATTGGCTGGATTGCTCAAGAAGGCAAGTCTCTGGGGAATAACAGAGGCAATATTTGTCACAGTTGCTTGAGAAGGTGCCTTTCCATTTCCTTTTCTTTTCTGTTTCCGTGTGAGTGGAAGAACTTTTATCTTGATTCAATTCTCCGCCGCTGTAAACTTTCTTGATTTTCTTGATTTCAGAATCTGATATATCAGAACATTTTCTCTTGGAGGCCTTTGTTTCTTCTCGGATTTTTTCATTATCCACAATCACGTGATTAGAAGTCACCACTGCCTCTGTTGAGGTTGAAATAATAGACGTAGAGCCGATACTTGATCCAACGCCTGAGTCGTTGATTTTAGATCCTGTTTTCTCATCGTTTTTAGATGAGTGGTTTGATGATTCAAGTGTAAGGTTGACTGGTGAGAGACTTAAAGTAGACTCTGAGAAAGCTGAAGGTTTTGCTGGAGTTGAAGTGATTTGCGAATCACTTTTTAGAAATTCACCGTTTTTTTCATTAGGAGATTTACCAAATACCGCATTGAATTCAGTATCAGCAGCAGCCAAACTTTCAGGATCAATCTCATCCATTGCTTTCAAGAAGTCATCATGATCATCTTCAAATAAATCTTCTTGATCATCATTTCGATATCTTTGGTCATCAGAATCAGGAAGATCTTCTAATACAATTTTTGCATCACTATCAGAACTTTTTAAATTTTCATCTTTCTGTTTTTCTTTTTCTGCTTCACTTGAACCCGAACTAGACGGTTGGTTGAGGTGTAATTCAGGAAATATCTTGTTTCTTTGAACCAATATTTTGACTGGCTGAACGAGTTACTATATTTGATCGATCCATTGAATCCTCTTGAATTGCTCTAATAGCAATCATACTGGGTACCTCACAGCCCAAATCAACTTCGTTTTCTTCATTATTAGGCTCATGAGCATCCTCATCGTTCTTGTCTTCTTGTTCCTCCTCTTCTTGTTCCTCTTCTTGTTCCTCTTCCTCTTCTTCTTTATCTTCCTCTTCTTCCTCTTCTTCTTCCTCTTCTTCCGCGTCATCGTTTTCGTCTTCTTCTTCATCAAAATCTTCGTCTTCAGTTGTTGTATCTTTTCCACCTCCAGATGATCTTGGACTTCGGCGAACGATGATTTTTGTTCTTTGGTAATGCATTGCTTTACAGACTTGATTTCCTAAATGACTAACAGTAAATTGGTCATAAGATTTACGGCCACATTTTCTCATAGTGTGATCTAATGATTAAAAAGTAAAAAAGATCCAATAAGAGAAAAGACCACATAAATTGATTTTGGATTTAAACTTACCCATCAGAGCATCAAATCTTGCCTTTCCAAGTTGATAATCGTATTTTCCGGATACAGGGTAAGTCAATGGCAAGGTATTGTTCCAAACCGATAGTAAAGATTTATTGTTACCTTTTCCAGCAACCGTCACACCAGTCAACCAATGATTTGGAAAACAAAATCGTACAAAATTTGCTATGACAGTAGTTGGTTCACGATCTTGGATATTATTTGGAAGAGATTTCAAAAACTTTTTGTATTTTGCTGCTTTAATCGGTAGAATTCCTTCGATGAAAGTTATCCCACCTTGTTCCTTAGTCTCATCATCCTCAGATATTATTCGTAAATCTTTCGCTTCGTTAGGTTGATTTTTTACTTTGGAACTTGTTTTAACCTTAGATTTGGAATTCCCAAGTTCTTCGATTATATTTAACAAACTCGATTGAATCTCGGTTGACTCTCGACAGAACCGTTGAATAGTTTCTGAAACTTTCATTGATTCACAGAATATCTTGAGATTCTTTGTTCTTTCTTTGGTCTCGTTTATGAGATCTGCGGATGATTTCTTTTCATCGGGTTCGTTGAATAAATTTCTTGAAACAGTAGCTGATGTTGAAGCTCCTCTAGAATTTGATCCATCATCTATGTTAACCACCTCTGGTTCAATTTCAATTCTTACCGTTTTCAGTCCTTCTATGTGCTGAATGAACGAATTGAATTCAATCTTGGAAATCGGCTTTACCGAAAATTCTTTGCTCTTTACCAAACAAGCATTCGAAAGCGAAAGCCAATGCATAATTTTATTGGGAAGATGAGGGGGTTTTGGAATTTTGTTCTTCGAATAGAAGATCTTATAACCAGATAAAAGATCTTTTGAGTCCTCTGGAAAGAAAAAAACATCAATTTTTTGTTTCTTATTAATTGTTAAACTTACCTCCAGTTCCAACGATCATCGCAGTTACAGGTTTATGACCTAATATTTCAATTTTGACATAATTGTCAAAATTAACCTCTAAAGGTTTTAGATCTGTTGGTATTAGCGATGAATCAATTGAAAAACCAACAGGTATAGTCACTTCTTTTCCGCTCTTCTCTTTCACAAGAAACAGAGCAATTATCATTTTCTCGTTCATTTTTAAGTTGCAATAAGATCCCACAATTGTAGATTGATTTCTCAAGTATCTCGATTTAGATCTTAATTTGAACACGGGAGAAATTCTAAATTGATGAACTTTCCGCTTTGAACGAATGTCCATGAAAAACACTTAAAACACGTAAAACTGATTCAATTTTTTAAGATTTCAGAGCACAATGGTTGTTAAAACGTGGTAAAAGTAATTTGATGATTGTAACAATTAAAAAAAATTACATAATCGATTTCCGATTCAGATAAAATTTAAAAAAAACTCTTTCCGCTGATAAGATTAAACACTTATCAAAGCTAAAAGAGAGATAAAGACTAGTGGTTTCCATGGGAACCAAACAAAAAGAATAGAACAAATTAAATGTTCTATTCTCTTTAAGAAGTGAACACATGTTCTCATTTATTCTTTTTTTAATTTTGTTCTCTTCAAATTAATTTGATTTAAATTCGATTTAAATTAGATTTGATTTGGTTTAAAGTAAATTAAATCAATTAATTATTTTTTGTGTTTCTCGTAAATTAATTAGTTTAATCTCTTCAATTATGAACAATAATTTCTCATTAAGAAGTGTAAATAGACATCGTAGATTTCAACATCTCTCTCATCACTCATCTTATATTGATGATCTACCAGATTATCATTTAAGGAGTTCAGATGATTCTTTTTCTTCAGATTGTGAATCATTGATCAGTGATTCGTTTCTAAGTGATGATCAGGCTGAAAATTGTGAACAATTTGATTGTGAAAACAGTAATTTTCTAAGCAAAAAAGCTTACTGTGAAGTGATCATTTCTGCTATTTTGAGTAAGGCAAATCTAAGCCTTTCATCAGCTCAACTTGTTGTTAACCTTTTCAACAATGTGAATTTAAGATTTTCAAGTGATCCGGCCCTTTTACCAAGTGTTCGCTACTTGTGGGAAAAGAGAGCAAAGAAAAACTCAATCGGTGTTTACATAATTTGTGAGAAAAAACATAGCCATGGACCGTTTTTCAGCGAACCTAGATTCTTCGGATCTTTTATCTGCGAAGAAAGAGAAATTCAAGCCGAACTGAAAAATGACAAATATTTTCTTCACATTGGACTTCGAAATCAGCTGGAAACATTTCTACCAACTGTACCGGATTCACAATGGGTCGAAAATCAAAGATCTGACCAAGAAATGATCATTGATATTCACAATGCTAAATTATCAAAGAATTTCAAACAATCACGTCATTTTCATTCGACTGAAACTAAGATAATCACCTTAACAATGCACACAGATGAAGTTCTGGTTGGAAATAGTTCAAGTGTAAAAATCTTCCCAATTTTCATCTCCATCAATGAGCTCAAACCTGACTTTAGGAGAAATCATTTTTTTCTTTGTGCATTGTTTGTCGGGAAAAATAGACCACTGGTGGAAAGTTATCTTGGTCCTGTTTGCGCTGATCTTAAACAACTTGAATCTGATCCAATTATCTGGAAAAGTAGATCAGGAATACTATGTAGAGCAACTTTTCACCTTATAGCGCTTGTGGCTGATGCCCCTATGCGAGCTTTTCTACGAGGAACAAGACAGTATAACCACACATATGGATGTGATTGGTGCTTGATCTGTGCGACGACAAATACAAGACGATCTCGACATTTCTCAATCAAAAGCTACAATGAACTAGAATCATTGAAACGGAAGCATGAAGATTTCAAAGAGTTTGATAGACTTAACTCAGAAGATACTCTAGATGTTGATACAGATCAAATAGAAAGATTTCATGGAATTATCGGCTCTTCTCCATTGTTAAGCTTGGAAAGTTTCAATATTGTTGATGGTGTTCTGGTCGAGCATATGCATTGTCTAGTCTTGGGAATTTGTCGATCATTGATCTTACGCGGATGGTTTGGTGAAACTTCCAGAACAATTTTTGAGAAGAACGTTGACAAATTAACTTTGAAAAAAGCTCTTTCTTCAAGAATCGTGAAAATATCGGTTCCTTCAAGTTTTACTAGAGCACCAAGAGATCTTGATCAGTTGAAATATTGGAAAAGCTCCGAGTATGACGCTTTCATCGTTTACTATTTTCCAGGTATAATCAAAGGTCTACTCAGATTGAATGTTATAAACAATTTATTTTGTTTCATCAAAATATTTCAACTTTCGCACTCTGGTCCTGTTGATCGAGATGTAATTGATCAACTGAGAAATTTAGTTTCTGAGTTTCAACATGGAGTTCAAGATATCTATGGGAAAATTTCATGAGTTATAATCTTCACATTCTCTCTCACTTACCAGATTCAGTCAATAATCTTGGACCTACGAGGAACATATCGTCATATCCACTAGAAAATTATATGGGCATTTTAAAAGATAAAGTTAGAAGGTCCTCTAACATTGCCCCTTCACTTGTCAGGATTTTCATCAACGATTTTCGCTACCAGGAAATACTAAACTCGATATCAGATTGGCCATTACATGAAAAAGAGAAAAAAGATCTTGGATTCCATTCATATTTACTTGATGAAAAACCTGATCAATTAACTTCGTTAAAAGAAACCTTGTTTCACGAAGATGTCAATCTAATCAAAGAAAGAATAATTAACATTCTTGGCCATTTACCTCCAGATGAAATTATTCTCTTGAAATCGATTTCGATCAATGGTAAAAGATTCTCAACGAAAGATTATTCTAAGGATAAGCTGCGATGTGATTCAATCATAAAATCGGAAAACGGTGGATTCTATTTGATTCATTCCATTTTCAAATATGGAGATACGTTATTTTCCCTCTGTGAAAAATTTCGAACTTCACCATTCAAAGTCTCATTCAAAGGATTGACCGGCTCATTTGTATTCACTCTTTCACATTTATTCGAGATTGAAAGTTCATCGAAAAAAGATTCAAGCGATATGATCTGCATTAAGCTTAATTCTAAAGTCAAAAAATGCTTCATCATTAAGAGTACGGAGCTTTCTCATAGGTATTCAAAGGACCTCATCGTCGAACCTTTTCTTTTCAATTTTTGACGCTATCCAGGTGTTTTGACTTACCAAATTCACGTCGCTCATTTTTTTCTACTAGTTTTATCTTAATTTTCAGATCAAATCATTGATTGATCTATTTTTTCTTATATATTAGTTCAATTGTATCTACAGAACCAAAATTAATTGATTTCTTCCTCCATCATAACTATTTAATTCAAAATTTGGTGTTCAAAGTGTATCTCTGGTGTATCTTCTTTCTTTGGCTTTTCTCTTTGATATTCGTTCCAGTTTCTTACATTCTCTTTCTGCTTCAAAGTTCAGTGTTTTTTATCCATCACAAAACTATCAACACAGTTCATCATCTTCCCTTTATCATCTTATATCTCTTGATTACTTATAATTGAATTAATTATCTTCAACAGTGAAAATGTCTAAATGTAAGTAACAACTTGTTTGATTTTCATCCATCGGCTTTTTTTAATTCATTTCAAATGCCATTTTCTCTTTCATCAAATAGGTAAAAATTCTGATAAATCTCCACCAATTACAAAGATCAGCAAGAACTGTGGATCAATCAACAAAAGAATTGTGATGAAAATTGTGATCAAAGATAAAAAGAAAATAACATCAATTAAAAGCCATTTTCGACCAGTTAAAAATTATGGAGGAAAAGAAAACAATAATGAAAATTGTTTATACGCCAAGTTCAAGAAATCAATTAATACTGAAGATGATCCAGACATTGAAACAATGAATTTTTCTCAAGAATACCAACCAATGGATACTAAATAGTTTTTCTTTCAACATGCAAAATTCAAAATTCAAGATTCAAATATCAATCATTCTTGAAAATCAATAATCAATCAAATCAAAAATCTTACTTTTACAGCTCAATCAGATCTCAAATTTCTATTATCAATTGTTTTTCTCATCAAATTTTATCTTTCTAATTGTCCATTTATATCAATTGTGTTTATGTGAATAGATATTCAAACAAAAATTTCCAATATAATCATTTAGATCAATGATAAATTTCCTTTGATAATCAGCAATTGAAAAGCTTTTGTTTACATTTCTTTCAAAACATAAACAAAACTCTGAACGCGCGATCTTTGAACCTTTGAATATGATTACATTTCAATTAAGCAATTGAAATTTTCCATTTTCGTAGAAAAGTTGATCAATTTTTTTGACTCTTCATTGATTCAAAAAAAAATCACCACGATTCAAAAAAA